TTTCCTGATTTTGCTAGTCATACTTTTCTCCTGTAAAATTTGACACTGGGGCATGCTAAGTGTAAAGGACACAGGTAACGTTCAGTATTGTAACATTCATAGTATTTTTGGTAACTTTTTTCAACTTTCTTGTTAGTACATGTTTGTAGTATATGATGATTACATTTCTCCTGGGGAGTTGATACATGTACATAACACATCATATTTTATACCTTCCATGGGAAATTCAAGTTCTAAAATTACAAAATAAAAAGTTTGAGAACAATTGAATTTCATGTTTAAGGTCTGCATTTCATTGCATGTGATTTATATTTGTATACCTTTAAAACATCTAAGTACATTTCTAACATACGTTTTAGAGAATAAAGCCTCTACCTTACTGTATAGGAAAAATAATTTGTGCAGTGTTGAGAATGTATTATAAATGGAAAGATAGGTATTCCTCATCTCCGAAACACAGTAAAAAGAGATTTGAGTCACTCGTATGTCTAGAAATAGTACAAATGATAATGTGGTATTTTTATAGCATATAAAAATTCTGCCATAATTTGTGAATCATTGAAGCTGTTACAGTAAATTAAATTGTATCTCACAATTGGAAGCTACAGTGAAAATAGCAAGCAAGAAGAAATGTACCATTTATATTAATTTTGCAGATAATTATCTATCAGTTAATGCTGACATTCTTTTCTTAATTTTTGATTAGTACATGCTTACCGTACATAGTGACTATGTTTCCTATGGGTGCTTTGTATATGTACATAGCACATCTTAATTCTTTTCTGTCTCTTTCCACTTCTGGCTGCCCCAACTCTTGTTCCCATTACCATTTGCAAGATCTCTCCATTTTTTTCTTAATTTCTCTTTTTTAAATCCCTTTTTTGCCTCCCTTCTTTACATTTATTTCCCTTTCCATTTGAAAAAGATCTCCTTACTTCCTATTATCTACCCTTTATTCTGTTATTCATTAGTATTTTGTATCCTATAAAGAAACCATTCTATATTGAAACTTGTATGTTTGATTTTGCTTGACATTGTGTTCTTGTTTCTGAGAAATGTCATTGATTAATCATGTAGATATTATAGAGTACATTTATGAAAACTTTGATGGCATAAGTCAATCTATTGGTCTAGTCTCTTGATATATGCAGGTGGTACAATAAAAAGTAATATTTGAATCTGATGGTCATGTAACATGGTGCACTGTCTTAGTGTAAGCTTTTGTAAGTAGAAGTAATACACTCAAAAATAATAAATGTGTAGCATAACAAATATGTAAACCACCAAATTATCATAGACTTATCATTTTCAAGTATATGTACTATGTACAATTTATGTTATACTTTTATGCATCTCATTGTTCTGTATATTTGTTTAGACAACAATCGCCACAAACACACAGTCATGCAAGGTACTGGGTACTTCCCATAACAACGATGCCACTTGGCAATAAAAGATTTTCAGCTCCAGTGTAATCCTATGGGACCATAGTCTTATATTTAGACAGCTGTTGACTGAAACATTGTTTTAAGACACATAACTGCACTCTAAAAAATGTGATATATGTATGCAAAAATGTTATAACTTCATGTTTATAATATCTGATATCTTTTTCAAGAAATCATCGTGACATGCATTCATATTTGTATTCAAACTATGTTATTTGTATACGTTTACTCCCAAAGGTATAAAATTTTTAAATAATTATTTGTTAATTTTTTTGAAAAAAAAAGAACTCATTTTTTACTAAATGAGAGATAATCTTTTGTTTTTCATCTTTTTTAGTTTTTTTGAAAGTCTTGCTATGACTGGCCTTGAACTCACTATGTAGTCCAGGCTGTCCTTGACTCACAATAATCCTCCTGCCTCAGCCTCCTGAGTGCTAGGATTATAGGTGTCCACCACCACACTCGCTTTGAGAGATAACCTTAATGTTTAAATTTCCAACTTTAGAAATGAGTTAGATCCAAACACTTAAAAAGTTTTGTTCCAAATTTCATACTCCTTTTTTCATTCTGAAATACAAATAGCTCTTCATAATCATGACTTTTATATTTGCTGATTCAAACAAACAAATGCAAATACTCGAAAAAATGTACTGGGGGGATTTCTTTATTATTATTTCCTTCATAATTCAGCATAACTACTTTAAATATACAAGGTATGATTGAAAAATAGAGTGACCATTTAATTTCAAAATTGGGTACGGTAAGACATATTGCCCTAAGTCCCTCTCAAAGTACTCTCCCTCCCTGTGATCACACTCATGCCGTCATGCATGGCACTGAACCAGTTCTGGAAGTCCTCCTTTGTATCTGAATCAATTTTATTTTTTGCAGTCATTTTGACTTTGGGAAGAGCCTGAAGTCTCAAGGTGCCTGATCCTGGGTGGATTAGGACATAGTCTACTGTTTTGGAAGGATGGCACTTCACAGCAGGAAGGAAGCACTGTATTTTTTTTAATCTTAGCAGACTTCCAGAGCTGCTTCAATGCTGAGATAATTGTGTTCACTGTGTAGAGTATTTGGAGGAGAATTAATGGTATGTGTCTCTTATTGTAATAAATCTTTTAATTACATTTTCACTGTATATTTTGAACACCTCTTGTAGCATTTACATTATGTTAGGGACCATAAGTAAACCAGAGGTGACTTAAAGGAGAATTTGTGTAGGTTGTACTGGAAATACTATGATATTTTATATGAGTATTAAGGAGTATCTGTATATTCACTTCGTGTGATGTAGAAGACAAAATATGTTCTCTTTACCATTTCTCTGTTAGGTTACAATAAAAGAAATGATGTTAGAGTGATGTTAGAAGAAAAAATGATGTTAGATTATGCAATATTTGCAGAACTAAAATCTAAATATTAATTAGTATGGGATGTACAAGAAGCACTAATAGATGTAAAAAATGACTTATGAAATTTTTTATTTGATGGAGGAGATACCAGGAATCAAACTCAGGCTCTTACACTTGCCAGACAGTCATTACTCCATTGAGTTAAACCCTTGCTTGGTTTATGGAATTTCTAATTTCCATCTAAAATGGTACATGGCACCATTATGAAATCATGGCTTCCTATTAAACTTTATTTTTAATTTGATTCCCTATATAATTAGATACAGACACTAATTTTTTATTATTTAAATCAAGGTCTCACTATGTAGCCTAGGCTGGTTTAGAAATCATAATCCTGTCTCACCCTCACAAGTGCAGGGATTACAAGCATGAACCTCAGTCCCTGCCTGCAATCATTCATTGGTTATTTGAAAGGGATAGTCTGGATTCTAATGATTTAGATGATTTTAAAATGTTTGGAAGGTGTTTGTTTATGAATATTTTCTTGACATATATGTATCATTTTATTTCAGGGCAGCTGGGATTACTGCTTTTCAAATAGGTGTAGTGAAATTATGTCATCAAACTGAAACAAGTAAATCTCATTTTAAAATATGAAACATAATAACAACATAATAGCTAGACTCTTTTTGGTCAGCATAGGTTGCCCTATGTGATAATATGTTTTTCATTTTTATTTATTTAGTCTTACCTAGATAGTATGGCTTTGGTACATCCCCTTGATTTTTACCTGGTTATTTGTAAGTATTAGCATTCATTAGGCTACTCTTATCAGAATTTTGGATTTACACTTCTGTATATTAATTGAAATAAATTCCAAAAAAATGTCACATCCTTCATACAAATCACCAGTATAAATTTGTCAATTTTATTTGTTTCATTTTAAGCCGTTTACTACAGAGATTTCTACAAAATACAATTGTATCACTTACCCAGTTTCATAAAAAAAAACCAACCTAACATTATAGAATGTCTTCTACTCAGAATTCAACAATAGCAACACTAGTGTTTTTAAAAATAAGTATGTGAAATAGCACACATGATAATTAGCTCAGTCTTTACATTCTGCCATATATACAAATTTCAAAGCATCATATTGTATATGACAAATATATAGAATTTAGTCAAATGATAAGGAAATTGGGGAGATATAAATTCACTCACTCCCACATTCATGTACATGTGTGGCTTTTCAGTCTTTGTAACTCATATGGAGATTGCTTTCTAACCACAGTGATGTTCTTATGTCTTTACTTTGCTCAACTTAAATTTCCTCTCATCAAACATGGACAATGGTTTTCCACAGTATTTCAAGCATACCGTGGTTTGGGTTAAATCCCAGCTCTTAAAAGCTGTTTTTCTTTGCATCTTGGCCCCCCACCTCCCCTCCTTCCCACTTCAGAGCTGGACTAGGATAAATCCTTACTCAATGATATTAAACATTCTATAAAACAAGATCTTTTAAGGAAGAAACAATTTTTTTGACTTTTAGGTTCAGTCTAAGATAGTAATACAAGTACAAAAATAATTTTAGAAGAATCATGTCCTTATGTCCTTGAAATAATGTATCACAAAATTTATGTATAGTTGTAATTATCCCAAAATCAAACTTAGTATATAATATTTTATATTGATAATGGTTGTAATAAAGAGTAGGTATCATGTGACTTTGTGGCACATGATTATAGGAGGAAAGGCATTTCAGGGAATTTTGTTAATAAGACTAATGCTTCTAAGTGGCAAAGCACAAATGTTTCAGGAAATAATGTAATATGACATTTCTAACATTCAATTAAGAGTTAAATAATATACTTGGAAATTAAGTGATGTTAAACTGTTTAAAATCTTACCAGCTGTTTCTAAGACTGATTTTCATCAAAATTACTGTACTAAAATGTTTTCTTTTGTTGTACAGACTCAAATAGCAAACCTCAATTTTAAAATCGTCTCTTATTTGCAAAAAAATGCTTTGACATAGTGCATTTGTTCTGCCTGGGCAGCAATAAAGGATTGTGGTATCATTTTGAAGAAGGTTGTTTGACAGAGCCTGTTTATTTATTTGGAGTAATGTGAACTGCATTCAGAAAATGCCATATTTTGTTTCATGATTGTATACATTCTCTCCTATTGCTCCCAGGCAAGGCTTGTAAGCAGAGAAGACACGGATTTAGACCTTTTTTCCATGACCAGTGGAAGTGATTTGTCTGTGAACAGAGAAAAAAAGAGTCAGGCACACAGACACTCAGCGGGATCTTCAAGTAAGTTGTGGTTTCCTTCAGAATTAATTTAGAAATCACAAATGAATTGATGAAACCTAAAGCCAACAAGCATTCTTTTACAGATAGGGGGTAGGATACCAGCAACCAGAGCTGCCTAAAAGTGTGCATGTGAATTTTTCTCTTTCTTTAAATGTCTTCTTTGGGATAAACAAAATTAAATTATTTCAAATATTAACAGCATTAGTTTTATTTAATTATATTATATAATTTAATGTCTCCCTCCTTCTACTGTGTGGATCATATTAAATTCTTTGATCTTCTATTTCTAAAAGAAATTTTAGGGTATTTCAAAATATTTAATTTATATACCAAAGCAATTTGTTTTGATCTTTTAATAGATATTGTATGTAATGTTATTTTTAAGGAAATTTATTCAAATGTAGTTGATAGTACAATGTCAAAAATATGGTATAAAAATTATTTCCACTGGTTACATGACAGTTATGCTTATTAATGATGACTTTATGTTCATAAATCTGTCACATACATCTATAACTTTGCATTTGTAGAGAGGATAGTTATATGCTTCAGCAAAATTCATTTCAACAAAACTTCATTGCCTCTATGAACAATAAAAAATATAAAAACTTTAAAAATATCTTTACCTTGTGATATTTCAAGGGTCTAGAACTATTTTTGAACTCTTCATTTAATTTATATATTAAAGATTACACAATATCTCCTAGAATACTTATAGTACATTAGTGTAATGAATTTTTGATAAATTTTGTAATTTTCCCCAAGTACAGTAAAACTCAAAAGTCATCACATAAATTTATACTTCACTGTAATTATTCAGTTATTCTTAAAAAACATTTTATTATTCACTGATGTTCAGTCATATTTATATAAAATCAACATTTTACTGAATGTGAAAAGTTTAGTGATCTATCTAGTGCTTTCTAGATAAATCAAGATGTCAAAATTATTCTCTGACTTACGTTTGATACAAGTACTCACATCTTATTAAGTTAGTCGTTTAAATTCATTAATATATGCAAATTCAGTGTGATAAATTTTAATTGGCATTCTTGACATAATAATTTTAATGTAATATTTTTTCTTTTTTTGGAACTTGAGATTGAACTCATGACCTTGTTCTTGTCAGGCAGGCGCTTACACCACTGAGCTAAATCCCTGGCCCTGACATAATAATTTTAATATGTCTAATTTTAAAGTATTTCCATTTCTTAACATACTAAATGTTTCAATTTGCCTTAGCTGATTACAGAATACAGTTCTTGAAAGGCTGTATAGTTAACAACAAAATATTTTAGATTTATTAACTTAAAATGGAATTGTTGATGCAACGAAAATTTCTAAGTTATCATTATAATGTGCTAATTACTTCAATTTCCACATTTCAGAACAAATAAACTTGTGTCACATACACCAGTGAATAATGTTATCCATCTTATGAGTATTATAAACTTATATATATGAGTTTGCAAAATTGTATGTATCATTTATTTTTACATAAAAAACAAAATTTCCCTATCATTGTACAGAGTATCAAAACACGTGTTCATAATATATCACTGGATGTTAAAACATAAGTATGTTTGCTAAATCAGCAACTGTCCTGAAATGTTTTCTCTTCCACTTGCATTACATTGAGTCACAGATCTTAGAGAATATAAGATCATTAGAACTCATTTCTTGGCACTCTAAGAAATTGAAGTAATGATATTTTCACTGTATTTTATTCTAATTAATTTTCTCTTTACAAGTGCGAATACCTCAAGTTTCTGTGTATACTAAGTGGCCATTTAAAATGAGCCAATTTCAAAAATAGTTTCATTAAACAAGAAAATTTTTATAAATAAAATACTACTTAATTATATTTATTACTAATTTGTGACATCTGCACATTATAATACTAATGAAGTATGAGGTCTGGTATCAGTCATAACATATTTCTTAAAATGAGAATGATAGTAGAAATACCTGCCTTGTAGAGTTGTTGTTAGGTTCAAATGCAAAACATTTAGAATAATAGCTGGAACAAAAGAAAATATTAATAAGTTTTCTTTGTAATCACCACCTACATGTAGCTATAAAAAAGGAATCAGTTGATTTAAGATATTGATATGTCTCACATGTAGGATCATTGTGTAACTGCTTTCATTTATAAGAAACCTACTTACACATTTTACTTAGCACCAAAATACTTGGCTTATCCTATTATTGTATAGAAATCTTCTAACCTTTAAAGTTTTTAGATCTTAGACCGCCCTGGCCCTGAGCCAACTACTTATAACTTTGATATTTTGAAAGTTCTTTTTCCTCCAGCTTTTCCTGTCTCAAAATTCATCACCTTGTTAAACTTAAATATTCCTTTCTACTTTGCAAGTCAAATCTCCAGAGTAGTTTATAGGCTACGGCTGTAAAACTCTTTGAGCCTTTGAACTTTTCTAAATATTTCTCTTTCAGTGTTCCTGCAATATTGTAACATGCATACTTCAGAGTTAGATAAACTCAGGCTTAAATTGCCAGTTCCATCATCATATATAAGTCGTATTGTCACCTGATAGGTTCTGAAGAGGTTCCCTCAGAGAGGAGGCAGTGACATCAACTTTGATCTGTGGAGTAGGTTCTTGACTATTATCAGAGCAAAAGAACTTTAGAACACTTTGGTGAAATGACTTGGGCAAATGTATCAAATTAGAAAGTAAAATAGAATAAGGAAGGGATTTTAGTTAGCATCAGGAGCTGAAGAGAGCCTGGACTATGAGGAGAAGTGTCAGTCTGGATTTTTATGGATTATCTGGGGTTGGCAAGGAAGTGGTTAATCATCATTTCAGTTCTTGTTTGGCAAAATGACACCAGAAGTCCCTACTATTTCAATGAAAGTTCAGTCTCCATGAGATGATTCTTCCTACTAAGGGCACTGTCAGTCTTGTAGAGTCTCTACTGAGATCAAGGTGACTCTAGCTTTGGATCAATGACTGGAGATTTGTGAGCACTCATTAGTAGTTGAATTTCTCTGTAAATGTCTTATCTTGGTATCTTCAATCTTGAGAGATGAGATAGGCTGTGGAAATTTAGAGCAAATCAATACTGTGTTGATAGCTTTTAGAAAGACATTCCCTAAATGATTAGCATGCCTATATGCAGAGCTGAGAAGGGTTTTGACCTAATTTTAGTAATAAAGGAGAAATACACAAAATGGCTAGGATTGTTCTGCTTTAGGACACTTTAGTGAGATGACTTGGGCAAATGTATCAGAATTAGAAAGTAAAATAGAGGAAGGAAAGGATTTTAGCCTGAGGAGCTGAAGATGACCTATTGGTTGTCTTAGTTATATATCAGGTTCTTTTGTTGATGTTGTTGTTGTTGTTGTTGTTGTTGTTGTTGTTTAAGCAAAATCAATTTTAAAGTCCTTGACTGCTTCAAGAGAAAGCACAAATTGTACTTTTAATGAGTAATCAGATAAAGAGTTTGTCTATCCTGTGTCTCTGTGTCAATATGACCTTGGGTAAATTATTTAACTTTGATGAGCTTATTAGTGAGGAAGAAGTTAGTAAAAATATAAGAAAGCATACAATATATCACCTAGTGTATTGTAAGGCTTTAAATAATAGCATCTATAGTTTTTATTGCTTGTTGTTTTATGTTCCTGCTGGATAATTTTTTAAAAAATTACAAAATGCAATTGCCTTCATTCACTGTGTGTTAAAAAAAGAAACAATATACTTTTAGCATGTCAACCTTCTCAAACTGTCTTTTCTTAGAGAGTTTCCTAAATGTTCTTTCCTGTTGTAGAATAGATAGGCCAGATTTTCTCATTTAGATAATATTCAGGCAAAATATTTGATTTTACTAAACTAATTTGTTTTTCTCTATAAGTTTTCCCATTAAATACTTAAAGTTTGCATTGCAATAATTTTTTTATGACAAGAACACTTTACAAATTTACATGTTATGTAGCATAAGATTTTCTAATTTGTTAATTTTTGGCAACTATTATAAACAACTCAATGAATTTATCTTAAATATAAAAATACTAGCAAATAAATACAACAACTTAACACAATCTTTTTCTTAATCTAAACTAAACTCAAAGACATTTTGCTTTTTTTTTTTTTGTAACATAATTTGAACTCATGACCTCACACTTCAGGCAGGTTTTGTGCTGGTGAGATACATCCTCAGCTCCTGCTTTTTATTCTTCCAAGTACTGAAGTAAATAGATTAGTTGGTAAAGTAATGTACTTCGTATCATTGGTTCATGAGGAGCCATTTACCGAATGCTCACTGCAGGTAGGTGTCTCTGATCATTTCTGTACTTTTTGGATATTTCATTTTCAGTTACCCAGAATTTGGAAATCCACAGTGTCTCCACAATAGTGAATAGTCAGCACCATATTAAATTTTTCTGTAAGTGTATCTAAACTGTTCATGTGTTGTAATACATCTCTGTGTGCTATTGAATTCTCTAAATATTTAAATAAATATTGTTCAAAAGTGGATCCATTAATTTAGCTGCAGTAGGTGAGAAAAGCTCGTAGGAAGAAATGGACTTGATTTGTACCAAGAATGATAATGGAGGTTTAAATAAAGAGGAAAGCTAACAGAAGCTGTTTAAAGGAGGGCAAAGGGTAAATCATGAATGTAGACCTACAGAGCACTGAGAAATCTGTCTGGACCACAGGTTCCACACACTGAAGTGGTACAAAATGAACCTAGATTGAAATGGAAGCCGAATTTTAGATAAGCTTAAAAATGAAGTGGATGAGTAACTAATGAGTAACTAATGAAGACTTCTGAAAATAATTTGGGTTGTGGTACTCTGAATCCGATTTCAGCTCTTTCAAAAAATATTAGTTTTGGTTATCAAAAGGGCAAAATGAACTAGTATATCATATATCCATGCCCGGTATTTTATATTGATTGAGAAAATACAAGTAGTAGCTAAAGCAAATATAGATTCCAAAGCTGATGTTTAGGGTTTATTCCCAGTGAGATAAACACAGTCC